GTTTGCCACAAGTTCAAGGCCAGCCTGAACTGCATAGGGAGACTCACACACACAAAAAAAATTGGTGACAAACCTCTACTTAGGCTGAGATGAACATCTGCCGTTCTGTGAACTCATCCACTGTATTATCTTTCTCTCCTTCCTCAGTTTACCAGCTTGAGGCCTTGAACAGCCTACCTCCTTGAGTTTAGCTTCCTTCTCTGAAAAGATACTGACAAGAACTACCTCAGAGCAATTTCATGCAGATTAAATGAAGTACTGAGCCAAGCATCTGCTGCACAGCATGGCCTCAGAAATATTAGCTGTTATGACTTTATAATTACATATTAAGCATTGTGTTATCAATTGGGTTATTCTTTAATTACTTATGTCATATAATCAGCACTCCATTTTAATTCTCCTGAATTATTCTTCAACTGTGCACTTCTTAATTGCAACTCCCCAATGAAGACTGAATGCTGATCTAAATAGCTGGTGACTAGTTAGTCTTCAGAGTGGGGTCTGCACGCACATAAATTTATTGTGAATGACAGGAGCGGTGAGAAAATGTAGGAGAACGAGGTGATCGGGTGAAAAGAGGGGCAGATGGGAATTTGGTCCTGATGATGACTGTCATCTTCAGGGTGAGTGGTCCAAAGAGCAGCAACCAAGACGCATTTTACACATGGCTCAGAAACAGGTATCACCGTCAACATCGTGCTCGTCTTCCCCATCAGTGTCCTAGTCGGCGCTTTCAGACTGTCCGCTATGAGCGCAGAGATTAGTTCGTTTCATCCTTCCAAAAGTCTGTGCGGGTGCTTTCATTATCACCCGTTTATGGTGAGGACAGTGCGGCAGTACTCGGAGCTTACGTGTCTGGTGCGACACAGCCCACATGGTGCAGTCATCGAATCACAGAGGACGTTTGGCTCTGCCCTCTCCTGTGGACCTTTAGCCTCGTCCCAACTCCTGTGAGTCTCTAGGGCATCATCCTCACAACATAGACAGATGCAGATCCTAGATCTAGCTACTCCACCTAGGTACAAGTGTAAAGTGAATCTGAATTCCACATTTGAACAAACAGGTTAAAAAAGGGACCCTCATCAGAAATGTACACTGTGGGGGAGCGTACTAGGGATTGAACTGAACTCAAGGTCTTTGCACTGAGCTATATCACCAGCCCTTTGGGGGTCTTGTTTGTTTGGTTTTTGTGGGGGGTTTTGAGGGTTTTTTTTTTGGTGTGAGACAGGGTCTCACTACATAGTCCAGGATAGCCCTGAACTCACTATGTAACCCAGGCAGGCCTCAAACTAGCAGCGATCCTCCCGCCTCAACCTCCCAAGTGCTGACATTACAGGTTTGTGTTACCACACCCAACTCCACAAATCTTCATTTCCCTGGTGTAGAAAAGCAAGTGGAGCAGTCCTCCGTATCACCCTCCTCACACCACAGGGATGAGGCGTGAGGGGCCCGGCACTGTCCATGTCCCAGGGTTGTCCAGGTTCGCTCATCCTCGCTGGGCCCTGAAACTGGGGGTTCTGCTTCACGTTGTGCTCCGCACGGCATGATGTGAGTGTTGGCATCTGATAAAAGCTAAATTAGGAAACCTGAGTGTGGCATCACTGCCTTTATTTTGGCTTCAACTTTGCAGGCTCTACCCTCATCTTATGGCTTGTTCGCAGTGCCTTAGAGTTTTTTTTTTCAAAATCAGGGCATAAAAAGGAAAAGGAGCCAAGCCATCTACATTGAACTGGCAGAGAGCTGGAAGAGGAAAGAAATGAGTATTGCTACTTTCAACCCAGGTAATGGTCCCAAAGGGAAGGCAGAAGGTCACACACCATTTCACACGGCGGCACATCCCAGGTTCAGCTTCCTCAGCCACCAAGCCAGTCTTGGATATACAAGGTGAGGCGAAGAAGACGTTACCTACTGGAAGTTCTGAGCTGAAAACACCAGAATGAGTTTATGACTCTTTTTCCTCTTCAAAAAATACAAGAAAAGTCAAAACAATGAAGGGAAAGAAATGGGTAGGAGAGACTTTGGGGAGGTGGTACAAGTGTCCTAAAACCAAATTAATGTGGTTTTACATAAACTGAAAATTCATTGAACTGTACAATTAAAATGGGGACTTTTGCCAGCTGTGGTGTCACATGCCTATAATCCCAGCACTCAGGAGGCTGAGGCAGGAGGACTGCAAGTTCTAGGCCACCCTGGTGTACCTAGCCAGACCCTGTCTCAAAAGAGAAAAAACTTTTAAAAACTAAAATGGGGGAATGTTGTACATTAATAATACTTTAGTAAGCTGTTAAATAAAAATTAAAACAAGCCGGGCATAGTAGTACACACCTGAAATCCCAGCACTTGGGATGCTGAGGCAGGAGAGTTGCTGTGAGTTCAAGATTAGCCTGGGCCACATTGTGAGTTCAAGGCTCAGCCTGGATTACACAGCAAGACTTTATCTCAAAAAAAAAAAAAAGAATTAAAACAAAACCAAAACCACAGGCAACTCTAAATGATTCCCCAGATCAAAAAGGGTAAAGATGAGGTGGGACGGGAGGAAGTGGGGAGATATCTGCCACAGAGCCCAGGTCAGCCTCATATCCTGAATCTGCTAGCCAATAAAAATTGACAGGCTGGAGCCCAGGAATGTGCAGCACGGTGGTAGAGCGCTTGCCTAGAATATGCAAGGCCCTGTGTTTCACCCTCAGCACTACACACACACACACACACACACACACACACACACACACAAGTAAATGTCCCAAGCCATGAGGAAATAAATCAAATCACTAAAGGATAAACAATAGCAACTTCACTAGTTTTCTCAATGTACAATTATCATTGCAACAATTGTTCTGTAGTAATTTGCAAACTTATCTTTCACTCCTCTGCCAACCCCAGATGGGTAGAGATGTGATCAGTCATCTACTTATATAGTCTGCTGTCCCTCGTACACCTAGTTAATTGAGATATCCTTTCAATAAATTATGTGTTCATTTTATACTTATTTGTACTTATTTATATTAGTGAACAGTTTTCCTTCCTAAGCCACCTAAGTTCTATTTGTTGTATACTCTGAGAAATATTTCATAATATTCAAACACATATATATGTACACACGTATATATATACACATACTTTTTCTAACACAATAATAGGTTATATACATTTCTTGGATTCTGGGGAGTAACTGAAGTAAACCGGGGTGTATGGCACAATGAGATTAATCCTGGCGGTCTCGGGAGAAACTGGCTTATCATTTCTAATTCTGGTCTCTGGGAGGATAGGTCTGTGGGGAGGTTCAAGATGGTACAACAGGGAGCATCCTGGCTTAGATTGAGGGCCATTGGCTTAGCAAAAATATACAACTGTATAAAATCCCTCAAATTTTGAAGTCTTGTAACTAACCCTGAGTTTAGGATGTCACAGCAGGAGATGATATCAACCTCAATGGTTAGCACAGTTCTGGTACATACCAGGAATTCTGAATAAATGAGTGAATGAGTGAATTATCACATGAACAATGGTCCTCAACTCATACCAACTGGAACTCATCTAATGATGTAATTATTGCCTTTGACATCTAACACTACAACCTTGTCATATCTATCTATATATGGGGTTGGTTTTGAAATCTCTACTGGATGAGGAGGGTATCTTCACAGAAAGTACTGGAGATTAAAGCCCAAGCAATACAGAAGGATGTCCCAGTGTGATGGTGGCCCAGAATGGTGAGCTTGAGCCTGCAAGGGGAGGATGATAGAGGGCGAACAAAGAGATGGTCCAGCAGCAGGAGGTAGAGCCCAAGGATGACAAGGAGGTCATCCACGGAGGGAATTAGACCAGCACGGACTATTGCCTGTGGAGATGAGGGGCAACCCGGTGTGAGGTGCTGGAGCCAGAGCAGGTAAGGAAGGTATACGTGTGAGGGTTGGCTAGCGTAGAATGCTGGAGCTCAAGCAGGAAAAGATATCCAGGGGTCAGCATCGGACAGCCTAGCACAGTATGTCAGAGACCATGCAGAGTAATAAAGATGTCCCATAGAGAAGTGGCCTGGAACCCGAGTAGGGTAAGGAGGACATTTATATCTGAGCAGTCTGGGGTGGGAACAGGAAAACAAGTGAAGTAGGTGAGGTGTCCACCAGGGAGGCAGCCTGGTACGGTATGTCAGATCTTGGGTCATCTACGAGGTCATCCATGCAGAAATGAGGGTAGTAATAGTTATAGGAGTATTATGGAAGTATTGTGGCTTATATCTAAATGCCCTCCCAAGCCTCATGCATGCATAAGTGGGGCTTCTGGTGATTGGATCATGAGGACATGATATCATCAGTGGGTTACTCCACTGATGAGTTTTTAGCTAACATGATGTTGGGAGGTGAAGCCTGGTTGAAGGAAGTGGATCACTGGGAGCATGGCCTGGAAGGAGCTTTCTCCCTCCCTCCCTCCCTCTTTGTTCTCTCTGCTTCCTCACTGCCATGCCATGAGCAATGATCCTCTGCTCTGCACCTCTGCCATACCCCTCCGCCATGCTGTCTGTCTTGAAGCCAGCCAACTGTGGACTGAAACCTCTACAAACTGGGAGCCAAAATACACCTCTCTTTCCCTAAGTTCTGTATTTTGTCCCAGAAGTGAAGAAAGTAACTAAGACAGGCAGACTGGTTGACAAATTGACTGGTAGACAAATGATCAAATAAGGAATTAATATGGAAACAACCCAGATGCCCATCCACTGAGGAATGGATAAAAAAGTTGTGCAGTAATACTCCATTATATAATGGAGTATTACTCAGCTATTAAAAAAGATAAACTTGAGGCTTTTGCAGGTAAATGGATGCAACTAGAGACCATACTCATAAGTGAAATAAATCAGACCCACATGTGTAAATATCATATTGTCTCCTTGGTGTAGGAACCTGAAAGACTAGGTAAAACTCAAAACATACAATAGATGATAGGGAAGGGAAAGAAACTGTTCAAAGGAAGGAACAACTGGGATGAAGAAAAGAAGAAAAAAGAAAGAAAGGCTGCTGCCGCCATCGTGCCAGCCCCTCAGGTCTCAGTGATACCGAGTGACACTCCAGAATGGGAGACAAGCCACTTTGGGAGCAGATTGGATCCAGCTTCATTCAGCATTACTACCAGTTATTTGATAACGACAGAACCCAACTAGGTGCAATTTACATTGATGCATCATGCCTTACATGGGAGGGACAGCAGTTCCAGGGGAAAGCTGCCATTGTGGAGAAGTTGTCTAGCCTTCCATTCCAGAAAATTCAGCACAGCATCACGGTACAGGACCATCAGCCTACACCAGATAGCTGCATCATCAGCATGGTTGTGGGCCAGCTCAAGGTCGATGAAGACCCCATCATGGGGTTCCACCAGATGTTCCTATTAAAGAACATCAATGATGCTTGGGTTTGCACCAATGATATGTTCAGGCTTGCCCTGCACAACTTCGGCTGACCTCCTCCCTGCCAGGCACTCATGCTGTTTCCTCCTCCCTCCCCTTCCTGATACTATCACACTCCTCCAGATGCTCCAAATATCATACACAAGCGAGCAGGGCCGTGGTGGAAGTGGGTGCGGTGCGCTGCTGCCACCACAGTTGTGCATGATGTTTGGGCACTAGACTAGTTGCATCTGACAGGAGAAGTTTGTGTTGTACCAGCGCATGCCTTGGAAAGACTTAAGTAATGCAAAAGGTTGTCTTTTTATTTTTTTTTTTTTAATTTACTGACAAGTTGCTCTAGTAACCCAAAGAAGTGAAGGAGAAAGCAGCTGCCTCACCACCCAAATATTGATTTGTTCAGATGTTTCAATGCCTCATGATACAATAAAACCACAAAAATTTTCTTAAAAAAAAAAAACAAGAAAAAAGAAAGACGGCAAAATATAGATATATATATATGAATAGCTGCAATGACTGTACTGCTGTCTGATGGTGTATTGGAATGAACAATTAATGCTTACAATTTTTTATGTTCTAATCGATTTTGCATGGTTGTGTCTGGTGGTCTGAGCAACTGATCTGCAGGTAACAATATGCAATGGAATTACAATGGTGAACTCCTACCATCTTGTCTAGTGAAACTGTGTATTATCTCTAATGTTTTACTGAAGAATTATTTTCTTATTCTCTTTAATGGTGTGAGCAATCTTTCATTCCTACATCTGGTAATCTGAGCAATGTAGCTGAGGATAGCGATATGTAATGTAACAACCACTGTTGATTCGTATTATTTTGTCTTGAGACCCTGTATCACTTTGAATGTTCCTGCTTTGATTTGTTTATGTTTGTGATACTGGTATGGTGCTACTGTTCTACTTTTTTATTTGTTTGTTTCTCATTTACTACTCTCTTTTAAAAATAAAAAAAAATCATAAAAAAGGAATTAATATGAAGGATAATAAGAACTGTGTTATGTTTGGAGTCAAAATGTCTTCCAGAAGGCTCATATGTTCAGAGTTGGGGATTTGTGAAGGTAATTAGAAGATAAGGTTCTTTGGTGAGTCATAGCTGAATGGGCTGTTAGGAGGTGGGGACCTAGTTGGAAGAGGTCGGTCACAGGGGTCAGCCCTTGAAGGGTGTATCTGGTCCCCAGCCCTTTCCTCTTTGGCTCATTCCCTCTCACTCTGCTCCCTGACTTCTACAAGTTAAACAGCTTTGCTCTGCCATGCTCTTTCACCATGATGTTTCTGCCTTGGAGCCAGCTGGCCATGGAATGAAACCCCCAAAACTATGAACTAAAATAAACTTTCCCTCCCTTATGTTGTGCATGCAGGTATTTTGTCCCAGCAAAGGATAAGTAACCAATACAGAAAATTGGTACCAGAGAAGTAGAGTCATTTCTGTGACTATACCTGACCTCATGGTTCAGAAGCCTTTGGAAATGGTTTGCAGGAGGAGTTTGGAAAGGTTAGGAGATGCAGGTGAGAAAAGTACTAGAATGCTGTGAGAAAAGCTTGCTGGGTAATTCTGGTCCGAACTCAGACCAGAGGTGGACAGTGAAGACTGTGTTCATCAAGTTTCTAGAGAGAACACAGACTGTCTTGAAAACTGAACTAGGGCCATTCATGTTACATTCTAGCAAAGAATTTGCTTACATTTTGCCCACGTCCTACAACTTTGTGCAAGCCTAAGTTTAAAAGCAACAGGCTACTTGATCTGGCTGAGGAAATTTTAAAGTAGCACGACACTTAGACAGTGATCTGGCTATTACTGGCTACTTCTAGCAGTGAGCATCGGGAGAAAAAAAAGCCAAAATATTTGAAAAACTTACAATTTGGCTGGAAAAGAAGCACAAGTAAAGTTGGGGGTCAAAGAAGATGTGGTTGCTAAAGAGATTAGTGCCACTAAAAGGAACCCAAGTAGGCCAGGTATTATGGCTCATATATAGATATCCTCCCAAAGCGTCACACAGTCATAGGTAGAACCTGTCAGAGGTGGCTGGAGCTAGAGTATGTGATACTAGGATTAAGGATATGATGTTTATGGTGTGATGCTAGGATTAAGAGTGCCCCACCCTGGGTGTGAGTGCTATCTGTCTTAAGGGTGGACAGCCTGGATATAAGGGACAGAAAGAGGACTGCTGTTGTCATTGCTTATCACTTGCTGCTTGGGGCTGGGGATTTAGCTCAGGGGGCTGGGGATTTAGCTCAGCGGCAAAAGCGCCTGCCTGGCAAGCGCAAGGTCGTGAGTTCGGTTCCTGGTACCGGAGAAAAACCAAAAAAAAAACACACAAAAAAAACTTGCTGCTTTTGTTGCCTCCTGCCTTCTCCTTTCTGCCATGAACTGTTTTTTCTCCTCTGTGATATCCCTCAGCCATGCCTCCCTGCCTTGCAACCAGCCAACCAGGAACTGAAACCTCCAAAAACTATAAGCTACAGTAAACCTTTCCCTCTTTTAACTTTGGGTTTTGGGTATTTTCTCAGCAGTGAGTAAAGTAGCTAAGACACCAGGCATGTGGGGACATGCCTGTAATCCCAGCAGTAGTCAGGAGGCTCAGGCAGGAATATCAGGAGTCTGAGGCTAGCCTCGGCTACCTTGTGAGTTCAAGTCCAGACTGGACTACATAGCAAGACTGAGGATCAATAAAAATAACACAAGTAAATGTTAAAAAGAAAAAGAATTCAAGTACTTTATCTTGGGACTATAGAAAAGATCCCTTAAGGGCAACTCAGGAATCAGTGAGACCCCACCCAACATAGACTTCAAGGTGTAGAAGTGTAAACTTTTCATTTGAGAAGAATGTCCTTGAGTACCCTGCTTGAGCCAGACTGCCTAGGGAACTGGTTCCACAGGACTCATTTCACTATGCTCACCCATCCAGGCACTCAGAGGTTGCTACAAGCCATGATCCTGGGGGCCTCTACATCTAAGGAGATGTGATGGGTATTGAGTTGACACGGGATGCTGGCTTGGCAGGTATATAGAATACAAGAGTTACAGGGTCATGGAGGCTTCCACCCAAATTTTAAAAGAATGCCTGTGAAGCCAGGCAGTGTATAATAGGTCAGATTCCCTGCAGGTAACACCTGAGAGGGCAATACATAAAGCTGTGAGAGTGAAGCCAAAGCCGCAGTAGAGTTCTCTGGAAGTTGGAGATGCCAGGAATTGTGGAACATCTGCCAAAGAAAGCCACAGGCAGTAAACAGAGAATGCAAGAGAAAGGTCATGTGGGTTGCAACTGACAAGGCTTTAGGAGAAGGGTCACCCAAGCCCCTTAGAGCTCACATCATGCAACCATACGCCCTTGCTGCTGGTCATGGAGGATTTAATGTTTGTCCTGTTGAGTTTCAGTCTTGCTTTGGTCTCATTACTTTCTAATTCCCTATTCCTCCCTCTTGGAATGGGAACATTGACTCTATGCCATTACATCTTAGGAGTATGCATTTGCATTTTGATTTTTCCTAGGGCTCACAACTAAGAGTTTGCCTTGAGTCTCAGAGGAGACTTTGGATGTAGACTTAGAGAAATGCTAGGACTGTTGGGACTTTGGGGAAGGAATTGCACACAGGAGGGTTATATCATGTGAGGCACAATTATGACCTTGTTATTGTGTTTATTTGGATTTTTAAGTATGGTTTAAGGAGACATGATTGAATATTGAGTTGACAAGGGGTACGTTTGTGATGGTTAATCCTATTTGCTTATTTGTTAGTTTGACTGTTTTAGGTAACCTTGCTCTGTAGTCCAGGTTCATTTAGAACTCACTATGGCCTGAGGCTGCCCTTGAACCCTTGATCCTACTGCCTCAGCCTTCCAAGCACCAGGATTATTAGTGTGCACCACCAGGCCAGGATTTGATGGTTAATCTTTGTCAACTTGATTGGACTGAGATTCTCAGAAAAGTGATTGGACTGTGAGAGTGCTAACCTCATTAGTGGCACTAATCTCCTTAACCAACTGCTGAGTTCCTTAGCTGAATTTACATGAAGCTAGGCCTTCATTGGAGAAAGTGCATCACTAGCAGCAGTAGATCTGGCCTCTGGGCCCCTTCCGCTTTGTCTCTTTCCCTTTCACTTCACTTCCTACCAAGAGAAAAGCAGCTTTCCTCCCTCACCCTCTTCCACCACGATGTTTCTCCCTTGGGCCCTGTGGGAAACAGACTGAAACCTCTGAAAACAGGAACCAAAAAACAAAACAAAAACCCTTCTCCATTAAGTTGTGTATGTCAGGTATTTTACACCATCAATGGAAAGGTGACTGATACCATAGCATTAACAGTTAATTCAATCTGGTTGACAGTAATACAATTTCATACTCAACATTTGCAAGACACAGATTCTTCTGAATTGCTCATGGACTATTCACTGAGATGGGCTATGTTATAGTCCATAAAAACACTCTCGAAATCTGGCAAAGGAATAAATTCATTCAAGATATATTCTTTGACTAAAGTGGTAGTAATATAGAAATAAGATGTTTAGAAAATCCCCAAATATTTTGAATTAAACAACACTCTTCAAAATAACTCTGAAGTCAAAAAAGACATCGCAAGAACTTTAGAAACCATTTCAATCAAAATTATAATGAAAATACAATGTATCCAGGCTTGTAGAATGCACCTAAAGCAGTGCTTAGAGCAAATGTATACTTTTCAGTACCTGTGCAGGGAAGGATGGTAAAATCAATGATTTACACTTCCATCTTAATCTGGAAAAAAGTAAGTAAAGTGGAAGGTAGTAGATAATCAGAATAACAGCAAAAATCAATGAAATAGAAAAGAGATAATGAAGAAAAGTCAGAAAGCTAAAATGTGGTTCTTTGTAAAGAATTCATAAATTCCTAGAAGACACAGCAAGAAAGAGAAGTAGAGAAAAAGACAACAGAGGGCAGAAAGAAGAAATGGAAGGTGGGAGAGACACCAAAAGAGAGAACATCCAAATGACCATTATCAGAAATAAATGAAGGATCATTCCTTAAAATCTCACAAGCCGGACATGGTGGTGCACACCTGTAATCCCAGCACTCGGGAGGCTGAGGCAGGAGGATCATTGTGTTCGGGACCAGCTGGGCTACAAAGTGAGCTCAACGCCAGCCTGAACTGCATAGCAAGACCCTGTCTCAAAAAAAAAAAAAAAAAAAAAAAACTCACAGATATGAAAATGATAATAAGGGGATAACATGGACCAATTTTGTGCTAATAAACTTTGAATTTAAATATAATGACAAATTCTTTTAAAAAACACAGCTTATATGCACACTGACAGAAGAGGAAATAGAAACTCTGAATAGCTCTATATATATTAAAGAAAATGATTTGATAACTGAAATCTCAGACCTAAACAGCTTCACTGGTAATTTCCATCAAACATATAAGGAAAAATAGTTTCAATCCTATAAAAATCTTTCAGGAAAGAATGA